CGACCTGGAGCGTCAGGGCCGTGCCACCAATTGCAACATGGTAAAAATCCACGTTGGTGGCGACCTGGTGCTGCTTCGCGAGCTCGGTCTTCGCCGCGACGGGGTCGGCCAAGGCCGCCGCGCGGAAGGCCCGCGCCCGGGACAGGTCGACGGGGGGCACGAAGCCGACGCAGATGACCGGCGACACCAACCGGGCCTCGGCCGTCGCGAGCCGGTTGTAGACCGCGCCGATGTCCGGCGTCAACGGCACGCCGTCGAACTTGGCGGCGACGACGACGGCCTCGACGCGGAGAGACGGGTCGCCCGCGCCGACGACCACGGTCCCCTCGCACGCCTGCGCGATGCGTGCGTAGATCTTGAGGAGGCCGGGCGAGTAGGGCCCGCTCGCCGCCTGGACCGCGAGGCGGACCCGTCGCAACAGGTCGGGCCCGATCAAGACGTCGTTCGTCGCCGCGATCGTGGCCAGCGTCGGCACGCAGCGGCGGCCGAGGTCCGACAGCCCGGCGCCGCCGCGCTGCTCGTAGATGAAGCCCTTCCTGTGGATGAGGCGCTCGAGTGGCAGCAGCGACTCCGTCGCGCGCCACCCGACGGCCTCGCCGGAGACCAGGCGCGCCCAGGCGAGCACGCGCTCCGCCATCGGGTGGTTGCGCTCGAGCGCGCCCGACACGAGCAGCGCGTTCAACGCCAGCGCCGCCGGCGCCAGCCGCACGCCCGGCGGCACCAGCCGCAGAACGCCGCCCGTCGGCGGGCGCGGCGTCGGCACCGCGACCGGCGCGCGGCGGAGGCCTTCGTCCGCGCCGAGCGACGAGTGGTTCAGCAGGCGCCGGAGGCGCTCGTGGCACCGCCGCACCGTCGTCGGGTCGGCGTGTTCGTGCCGCGCGCCGTCCAAATGGCATCGCAGAGCGCCGCCGTCGTTCATCCTCGCGCCCGCGCGCCAGTCGCAGAAGGGGCAGGTGATCTCGAAGGGCGTCGGCGCGAGGCGGATCGCCGCCTCGGGGCTGACGTCGAACGCCCTCTCGAGCACGTCGCGGAGGCAGGCGAGCTCGAGGAGGTCGGGCCAGAGGACGTAGGCGCGGCCGCCGGCGACGACGACGTTCGTGAGCGCGCCGTGCTCCTGGAAGTAGAAGTTGACGACCTCGTCGTCGGGGCTCGCCGCGCACAGGTCCGCGGGGGACGACGCCCGGAGCGCGGCGTCGCGCGCGAGCGCCGCGCGGAACGGGCTCGCGAGCGTCGAGCTGAGCGTCAAAGGCTGCGCGGCCGTCGGGGGCGTCGCGGCCCACTCGACGGACGCGCGCGTGCCGTTCGGGAAGGCCAGGGATGTGGTCTTCTCCTTGCGCTTCTGCGCGCGCAGCGCGCGCAGCGCCGTCGCGCCGTCGTCCGTCGCCTCGGCGACGCCGTCGCCGGCCGCTCCGCCGGCGCCCGCCGGCGCCGCGACGGGGGGCGGGAAGAAGTGGGGCGCCTCGCGCTCCCACGCGACGGCGCCCCGGTACGTCGACATGATCGACGACGAGAGGTCGACGACGGGCTCGCGCGGCCGCGCGGCCGCGTACGCGTACTCGATCGTGTCGCAGTCGTTGAAGCGCGCCGCGAAGCCCGCGAAGGTCCCGTAGGACCGGGAGTCGGACAGGGCGTATTCCCGGCCTCCGATGCGGACGCTCACCGGCGTGGCCGTCGTGAGGATGGCCATGTCGTCGTCAGCCAAGAAGCGCCGCGCGAACCTCGACAAGAGGTCCGCGGCGTCGCGCGGCAGGTCCGCCACCAACACCAGCATGGGCGGCGACTCGGGGCCGTCCTCGCCGCTCGCGGGGTCGCGCGTCAGCAGCCTCAGCTCGAGATGCATGCGGCCGACCTGGCGCGGCGCGAGTCGCCCGCCGCCGTCGCCGTCGCGCCCTTGGGGCGGCCCGCCGCGGTCCTGCCGCGGCGGCGGCGGCGCACGGGCGCGCGCGGGCCCGCGGGTGGGAGGCTCGTGGCCTCGAGCACGCCCGGCGGGGGCGTCGTAGCGGCGCCACATGGTGCGCCGCGCCGAGCCCGCCTTGCGTTTCTATTTGATCGAAAACGAGTGCCATGCCCGGCCAGCCTCCGTGCCGAGTCCGTGCCCGAGCGCTGTGCCCAAGCCGCCACCGGGGGTGCCCGGCTCCGGCACGGCCGCCGGCACGGCCCGGGCGCGCTCCGGGGACGGCGCCGGCACCTTGGGATATTTACGGCACGCCGGGCACGGGACCGGGGACGTCCGGGCACGCGGGCACGCCGCCCGGCACGCGGCACGCCGCCCGGGCACGCCGGCACGGGGCCGGCACGCGGCCGGGGACGCGCGGGCACGGCCGGCCGGGCACGGCACCGGGCACGCGGGAGCCGCTGCCGGGCACGCCCGGCACGCGGCCCGGGGCACGGCCCGGGCACGGGCCGGGGACGTGGCCGGGGACCGCGGCACGCACCGTCGCGCAGGGGCCCCTCGATCGCCAACTCTTGGCCATCCAGTCCTTGTGGACATTGTGCGCCACGGCTCGGCGCGTCTCAGCAGCCGTGCTCGGCGACCACGTCGTCGACGAGATGACGCGAACAATAACGACGAAGAGCATGAGGGTATGCTTGCTGGTCGTCGTCGCCGCTCAGAGGCGGCCTCTTGAAAGGCCCGGGCAACAGGAGTGGGAGCCGATCCACAAGTGCGTTCCCGCCGCGTCCAGACGCTCGAGACCAGGACGCGTCGTCCGCCTTCGCCGCCCGCGACCTCTCGCGCCGCGGTCCCGGCCCGCGCGGCCGCGGCGCGGCGCGGCGGTCGCGTCCGTCGCCTCGCGGACCCGCCCGACCTGACGCTGAGGGATTTGGGTCATCTGCCGACGCGCGCAGGTTTCTCCACGCCGTCGACCCGAGCCGGTGCGCGGACGCGCACGTCATCAAGGGCGAGAATGAGAACGAGCCCGACGTGCATGTCTGCATGGACTTCCTCAAACGGAACGAGCCCTGCGTCGTCTACTCCATCGGCATCGCGAACAACTGGCTCTTCGACGACCTGATGCTGAGCAAGGGCTGCCGCGTGTTTAGCTTCGACCCGACGATGAGCGGCGACCACAAGCGCCACCCCGAGCGGCACACCTTCGAGCCCATCGGCATCGGCGCGGCGACGAAGCTCGAGACGCGCGGCGCGGCGTCGACGGCGAACTACGGCGGCCGGGCCCGCTACCGGGTCGAGACGCTCGCGGACATGATGGCGCGCCACGGCCACGACGCTGTGACCGTGCTGCGCATGGACGTCGAGGGCGCCGAGTGGGACGTGCTCGCGGAGTGGCTCGCGAGCAGCGCGCTCCTCGCGATCGCGGACCAGCTCCTTTTGGAGATCCACCTCTACCGGCCCCGGGGCGACGCGGGGAAGCTCCACGACCTGCTCGCGAAGATGCGCGACGTCGCGGGATGGGACCTCTTCTGGACCGCGCGGAATCGGTGGGACAACCACCGGCTCCACGGCGACATGACGCGCGTCCACGAGCTCGGCTTCATCTCGTCTGGAAACAGTGGGCGAAATGTACTCTTCACAGGGTGAGGAGGGACGTCTAATTCGAATCGTAGATAGACGTCGGCTTCCGCATCGATCGAGAGGCCTCTATCGAGGTCACAAAACTGCTTACGCGCGCGCGCGCGTCTTCTTCTTCTCGTCGGGCGCCAAGGTGCAGCTCACGAACTTCGAGTCGTCGCCGACGAGCGTGTCCCAGAGGCGCTTCTTGAGTCCGAGGTCCGCGGCTTCCGTCTCGTGACCCTCGAAGTCCACGCGGTACGACCACGCGGAGCGGTTCTGCACCGACGGGTCGTATTTGACCTTGGTGAGGCGGCCGCGGATCGTCCGGCGCGTCCCGTTGGAGTCGCGCGTGAGGATGACGCGCATGGGCGTCTTGAGGCGTTCCTTCCTGAGCTCCGGGAGCGTGGGAAAATTGATTTTGTGGGGCTCGTGGCCCGGCGTCGCGACGCGGCGGAAGGCGTCGGCCGCGAGCGCCGCGGAATGCTCGTCGTCGTAGTAGCCGAGGTGCTGCTTTTTGCCGTCGAGGCCGCACTTTGTGGAGCGGGTCACTTGGGTCTGCCACGTTTCCGTTTGTGCGTACCAGGCGACGCCGTGGAATTCGGACGACATGCCCGGCTTCTCGACGAGCGCGCCGCCGACCTCCGGGTTCGTCTTCCGATTCAGGCCGAGCTCGGCGATCTTGGCGTTGTAGGCGCGGGCCGCCGCCTCCTCGTCGTCGAAGAGTGCGATGTGGATAAGCTTGCCTTTCTCGTCGGTGTACTGAGCTTCCCACTTCCCATTTTCCCGATGCCAAGTAACCCCGAAGAACCGCGACGACCACGCCTTGCCGCGGCGCTTCACGGTGACGACGGGCGCCGCGTCCCGCTTTCGCTTCTCGCCCGTGCTCACGCTCGACGCCGTCGCCGTCGCGTCGCGGGGGGCGCCGCCCGTGCGGGACTCGGCGGCCTTCTTCGGGGCGAGCATTTTCTCCTCATGCCCGAGCTTCTTCGAGTAGGCGTTCGCCTGAGCGAGGCGCGCCTCGGCTTGGGCTTGTAGGGTATTCTCCATGGCGACGTTCACGGCCCTTTGGGTTGCCATGTCGCACGCGGTTGCCTTGTCGCTCCTCGGGTCGCCTCGTCTGGTCCGCGGTGGCGAGAAATCGCTAAAGAGGCGCGCAGCACCACGGCTCCCCAGCGACTGACTCGCAACCGCCACCCCTCAGACTCATACGGCCCCCGCGCCGCCGAGCAGCCAGCCCACCGCATGGCCGCATCGGCCACCATCGAAGGCTCACGGCGCGCCGCGGCCGCGCGCGCCGACGACCCCAGAGGGGGCCGACCACCAGGCATACACCAGCCACGGCATACACCAGCATAGCAGCCGCATAGCAGCCGCATAGCAGACGCATAGCGGGCGCATAGCGGGCGCATAGCGGGCGCATAGCAGGCGCATACCACCAGCATAGCAGGCGCATAAGACCAGCATAGCAGCCGCATACCACCAGCATAGCAGGCGCATAAGACCAGCATAGCAGCCCACCAGCATACCACCAGCATAGCAGGCGCATACCACCAGCATAGCAGCCGCATACCACCGGCATAGCAGACGCATACCACCGGCATAGCAGACGCATACCACCCGCATACCACCCGCATACCACCAGCATACCACCCGCATACCACCCGCATACCACCCGCATACCACCCGCATAACACCCGCATAAAGCCCGCATAAAGCCCGCATAGCGGGCGCATACTACCAGGCATACCGGCGGTCAACCCCCTCGGGACGACCCCCGGCAGACCGCCAGCCGCAGAGCACAGCTCATTTCGAGCGCCACCAGCACAACCACAAGCCCTGTCATCCGCGCAGCTGCGATCTAGCCACGATGCGCCTTACTTTGTCCGCCGCGCTCCTCGCCGTCGCCGTCGACGGCTTCGCGAGCAAGCGCCTGCCGTCCCTGCGGCAAGGCGTGCGCGTCCAGGACGCCAACGCCGTCACCGAGGTGCGCCGCCGCGCGCCCAAACCGCCCCGCGCGATCGGCCCCGCGCGCCGGAACCGCCCCGCGCCCGCGCGCACTCATCGAAACATCCTTAGGTCTCCTTCGACGGCCTCGACGGGTCGAACGCGCGCATCGGCATCATCCGCACCAAGTGGAACCCGAAGGTCGTCGACGCGCTCTCCGACGGCGCGAAGCGCGCGTGCCTCGACGTCGGCGTGCTCGAGGAGAACATCTTCGAGACGCAGGTGCCCGGGGCCTGGGAGCTGCCGTCGGCGGCGCGCTTCCTCGCCCTCAGCGGCCGCGTCGACGCCATCGTCTGCATCGGCACGCTCATC